TTTTCTAATACTCATTAATTTTACAATGATTTTCTAAATGAATTTTTAAAACTTTCTTCCAATCTTCATCCGTCGTCTCTTCTTCCTGGTCTCGGGTTTTGTCAGTCCTTTCTGTTCCATCCATCTAGTCCATCAACCTGGTGACCTTCTATCTGAGGCTCTTAAGTCTTTTCCATGTCCCTTCTGCAGGTCTTCTTCATGTTTATACCTGCACTTTACTTTATCTTCTGCTGATCTTATTCTTAATTTCCTTCCTTTCTCTCAGGGAGACTCCAACTTGACAATATCTTTATCCCTTCTCGACAAGTCAGCCCATTCTCCATAGTCAACACTGAAATCCAAAAGATATTTAAAGGCATGTTTCAAAGTCCCTCCAAGATTAAAGGCCCCCACAACTCCGAACTCCCCCTGGCCCAAAGCCAGATCCGAAAAGTCAAAACATCCCTGCATAGGGGAATCTATCCAACTTCCCATCTCCCGACCAAACAGTACTCCATCTCTCCAAATCTGACTTTCTCCAGGTTCAGTCGTCAAAGACAGCAACTTATGTTCCTGCAAGGCCGCAGCTCTCTCCATTTCTGGTACTTGAGTTTCAGCAACTACCTCCTCCTTTATCTTCTTCACCACTTGCTCTGTCAAAGCACATTGCTAGATTGATTCCTGAGTGGTTTCTATATAAGTATTCACTGTTTGTCCAAAATTTCCAACTGCAACAGTCATCAAATCCATCTTCTTATGTAGCTGTTCCAGTAAAGCACTTGTCTTGCAAAAAGCAAGCACTAAAGCTTCTTCTGGGCACATTCTTGTTCAAGGTCGGTGTCTAATTCCCACAATCTTTTATCTCTACAGCTGTAGAATTCCCCAGATCGACTCCAGCAACAGTTTCACAAGCTCCCTCTAGAGGAAACAATTTCTATTTGTATCCGTCTTTTTAAAAGCAGATCTAGCGACAAAGTTCCTTTCGTTTTCCAGATATTTTGTTCCTTTTAAGAGCAAAAGGGAACATTGGAATCAATATGTTTCTCTTTTTTAACTATCTGTCAAAAACGTTTGTCCACAGTCAGTGAACTTCCCCAAAGTGTCTGTCTCTGACACCCCGCTCCCAGGATCAAGACGGTGGAAATTTATCTTTCTTTACTCTCTCTTCTGCAGGTTTAAACAGTCTAAAAATGCCCCCCCCTCTTCTCCTGCTTCCAAGGGGGGTTTAGTGATTTTAACTGATGGAAATTTAGTCCTTTACAAACGACTTTCCAGACTCTAGCTTGCAATGTCTTTGCTTCAATCTATTTACAAAAGCGGAAGGCGGACTTCCTGTTTAGACCTTCCCGCTTCGGTGCCAAATTAAAAAGTTTCTTAATCCAATTTTCCGTTCTACTCACGGGCAGTTGTTTAAAATCCAATTGTCCACAGGAAAAAGTCAGCGCTCTCCGGCAACAGCAATGCGGCTTCACTCCGTGAAAAAAGCAGTCGATTCAAAGCACTGTGACATTCACCCCACGTTGCTCCGGATCCCCGAAACCGGGTTTCCCCGCGAGTAGGGGAGGCGCAAAAGGTGCCAGCCGAATCCCACGTCCACAGGCTTCTCCCGCCTGTGGTTTTTAATGGGTCTCCGCCTCGCCGCGGCGGTCCAGACCCTAATTCTCACGAAGCGGATTCCTCCTGGTCAGAGGAAATCCGCCATTGCCGGAGGCGCTAACCCGGAAGTCCCCTTAACCTGAAACTGTTCTTAAAATCAGTTGTGGCCTAGGAAGAGGCCTTAGAGCAAGATGGAGACTAGGAGACTCACAGAGGGAGTTTGGGCCTGAGGTCCCTCCTCCATACTTAAAACTCTTCATGACTATGCCCCTGGGAAGGAGTGCCTCAAGCTACTGGCTAGATGTTGGCTAACAGTTCAACACTATCAGTTTCAGGTGGCCAGCTGTATCACTTTGTTTCCACACCATTTCAGATGAGCTGCCACAGGCAAAGTCGGAGAAGGAAGTTTTCTCCACATGGAGTGGAATACTTCCATTGTTTTCTGTTATGCTAACACAACTAAAAAAAACTTAAATAGTAAGGAACTATCATAAGTAAAAGACTGAGTACTGAGACCCCCAAGATAACAGCTAGATAAGCTGGGCCCATCCTAGCTAGTTTGGGTTCCCCCTGCCTCCCACAGGCTCCTCTAAATTCTAACACATAACAAGGCTTTCTCCATTGAGAATTATAATAAGCCCCATGTCTTTATGGAGATCCATCTGGCATAGTAGGCCAAGGGGATTCTGGATCACATCTGTCAGCTATAGTCCTTGTTATTCCTTCATCTGCTGTTCTTGTTACTGGAATGCCTTTCACACACGTCTTCATGTGATTAGGAATCATGCAATAAAATGAACTAAAATTGGTTGTAAAATAATACGAACAACAACAACTACAACACCAACAACTCAATGTATTTTTTACAAATAAACATCCAAGGCTGAGACCTTTAGAAAACCATCCAGTTGGTAACACTTTTCAGAACAAAATAGCTTCATTTGTTTCTGAAAGTATGAATTGTGGGCGCCTGCTGTATCTCAACATGGATGATGTTCCACAAAACAGAGACAGCCACACGGACAGTCGTGCTCCAAATTGCTGTAGAGTGGATTTCTCATATTTTTGCCAGGGTGCTGCTATCCTTACCAATGGGGGATTCTGATTATTTTTTTCACATGCACAGAGTATACTTCCTTCTTTCTTAATTAACCTGCTGTACCTATAATTAGAGCAGTTAAACTATGGATTTTCCTCAGGCTTTATTGGTGAAGTGGGGATGCTAACTGGCATTAATGACTGTGACTACAGAACAGGGGAGGGGGAGCATTTAATTAATATGAAGTACAAAGGTGTAATCTTGTATGTATTCAGCCACCACCACAATGTAGACACCATCTCATTGTTTCTGTGTGAGTGGAATCATGTGATTTAAGTGTCTTGGATTTGTTTGGCATTCATCCAGTATTTATAGAATTTTGGGGGGAGGCGAATAGGTTTTCTGTCTATGTGGTTTTCCATTTGTGTGATGATTTTGTGTGTGTGATTTTGCTTCCATGCTTAATCATTATAGTATTGTGGTCTGCTCCCCAACAGACCATTTTTTGTGGGTGTGCAGCTCCTTTTATTGTTTAGTGTCTTGAGCAGCACCTTTTTGGACTGTTGATTTTTTAAAAAAGGTTTTCTTATTTCAATAGGCTGCCCTTCAGCAAAGCTATTAAGGTGACGTCCAACATGAATTAATATAATTATATAAAATTATGTACAATCACACTTAGGAAAACAGCAGAGCAGAATAGCAGCATTCAAATCCAACATACAATAAAACTTCATCAATGCAACTTTTGAGTTTTGTTGTCTGTCTTGGTGCCCAGGATTGTCTTTGATAATGCGAAAAGCACTCAATATCATTCAAGTTCATATGCGTGAACCTGGTGCCTCCAGGTGGTGTGGACTACAACTACCATCATTCCTGACATTTGTCTGTGTTTGATGGGGCTTTTGAAAGTTGTAATTCAAAACACCTGAAGCATGTTTAGCTTGTTGAAGGATTATATGTACCCCGGTTGGTGATGGGGAACTTGCAGTCTTCCTGATATTGTTGGACTCTAAGTCCTGGGCCAGTGGCTATGCTGACTGATGGGAACTGGAGTCCAATGGAATTTGGAGGGCCACAGGCTCTCCACCTGTGGAGTGGAGTGGGGGGGTACATCTTACTCTCTGTAGAAAATGTCGCAACCTACACAACTGCATAAGTCAGAAGACTTGAAAATATTTCCTGAACCGGAAGATTCGAAGACACTTATCAGACCAACGTGACACTTGGTTAATGAGTCGTTTCTCCAGTGTTCTTTTTTATCTTCTTTATTACAGTGAAACAACAACCCAAAAAACAATAATGCAATGCTGTTTCATTTTTCAAATCCTTTTGGCTTGATATCTGCTTTTCTGGCATGCCTCTTATACATGCCATTTTCTCTCTAATTAAATAATAATTCTAACCTCACTTGTGGCACATCACATTTTGAAAAGGCACATTGAGGAATAGAAGCGCAGTTTGACAGCCCCTCTACTGGTTTTTCACTGCCAAATGGTGGTGGGTTTTTTATATATATAAAAAAAAGATTCAAATGTCTTGACTACAAAACAGGATGAAGTAAAAGTTATATGTATTTGTCAGTCACTTCACATAAATTTATTTCTTCAGTTATTTATCACATATACAGGCAGGCCCATTCACGTGGGGGTTATGATCCGAGGCACCATGTACATTGGTGAAATCACGTATAACTGAAACCCATTGAAAAAAGCTGCAAACACCCTGCTCCACTCCGCCCCCATTCTGCCCCCTATTCCACCCTTTTAGTGATGTTTCAGTGATGTCCTTATGATTTTTCCAGGTCACTTCCGGGTTTGGCTCGTTGTGTGTATACACACTGAGCTTTATGGAAGAGGGGGTATTTGAACCCTTGTCTCTAAGAACATAGTCTGACACTCTAACTGCTACACCACACTGCATCTTTGCTCATTTCACCACACTGTCATTGTTTTAATGCTGCTAGCCAATACTATGAAAGAGTCCATTTGTAACTTTGTGTGTTTCTTATGCATCAATAATCCACTTTTCCTTTCTTTTTTGGGTGGGAGGTTATAAAAAGTGTCCTGACATTTTTTTAGATGCATTGGGTGATTTTATATGTGTTTCCGCCTTGTTGTAATCCAGCACAAAGGCATGTCTAGAAGCAAAGCCACTACCTTCCCAGTAAACAGGGCTGTTATCAGGCTTAAACGGAATAAAAATGGAAGCACCATTTCACTGTGCTATTAAACCACAGGCTTGTCGCTATATGTGTAGATTTCAGAATTTCTGTTTAGTCAGAAAGGCACGTTCATGAGAACCAATGGGACCAGATCAGTTCTATGTTTTAGGCTGCTGTTAGAAATTAATCAGTTGTATGAGATTTTGTTGGCAGATATCTGTGTGAAGGGCTTTAGCTCAGTGGTAGAGTGCTTTGAATGCAGAAGACCCCAGGTTCAATCCCTGAAATCTCTAGGTTAGGTTGGGAATATCCCTTGTGTGAAAGTCCTGGAAAGTTGCTGCTGGTCCATGTGGACAATACTGAACCAGACAGACCAATATTTTGACGTGGTACTTGTTCCCTAATGGAGATTTTATGCCAATTATGTTCTGTTAAAAGGTTTGTACGTGTGACAATATGTTATTTCTCTTTTTCTGGATTCTGTTGTCATCTTTGCCTGGCATGGGTGGGCTCCAAGGGCTTGTCTACACTTCCACTTGTCCTGTGCCTAGAAAGCATGGATCTGAGCAATTCTTTTGCTGGACCCATGCTTTCTAGGTACAAGTCCAAGCGGTTTTCCCCTTGCCCCACTCCTTCCCAGGGAAAACCCGCTCTTGCCATTTGCTCTGATTGAGTGCTAAAGAGTGGTTTTCCTCGGGGAAAAGCAGCAGGACAAGAGGAAGTGTGGATAAGCCCTAACATCTTTCATTTGCCATGGCTGGTCTAGCAAAAGAACTTACAACACCAATATGTTTAAGAAATTTTGAGAATAGCTTACATTTTCTTTACAATAGAATATCTGCACTATAATAAACCAGGAGCTCTCTAATAGGTTATTTCCAGTAATTAGGAGATGCAGTTTCATAGTCATCTTAGAGTTCCTTAAAAAAGAATACATATGAAATCATACATATTTAATTTCTTAACTGCACATTGACAATTTATATTTTAACAGATATCCATCAAAATTAATTCTAGATTGACATGCTTTCTCAAGTCATTTTAGTACTATTCTTTTTTGTGTTTGAACTACCATTCAGCAATGAATCAACATAATTATTGCAAGCTATTTATTGTGATAGCCTTAATAACAGATTTGAGTTTACCATTTTGTTGCCTCTTTTGTACTCTAATGATCTCTCTGAGCTGTGCATCGCAGAAAGTAATCTGTGTTGTGCATGTCAAGCCATTCATGTTAATGTTCAACAAGCCAATAGGTTTTCTGTTTAAAAGGAAAATGGGGAATTAAAACCGTTTTGCCATTTTCTATCCAGAAACTGTTAAAGCATTTTTTTAATAAAAAAGAATAATGTGAATGGGAAAAAAAGACCAACAAGAATTTATTATATCCTTTTTCCTTATTCCACATTGTGGTCCTGATCCTGATCCCACAGAAGTCAGTGGGGGATTTGCTGGCCCTCGGCTGTGGAATTGCCTTCCACCAGAAATCAGGAGGACCATGTCTCTTCCCTCGTGCCAAGTGAAATGTAAGACCCTCTTTTTGCAAAAGCCTTCCCTATATAGCATTTTGCTACTTTATACATAAAGGGCCTAGGACTTCTGCCCACAAGATAAAGGAAAGAGCATTCAAATCAGAAAGGAAAGATGTACAGTTTGATAGCAACATGTTTGGGGATAAGGTTCACCACATGGTCTCACTTACTACTTTGTGTGATTTTGTAAACAACTTTCAACTATTATAGGGGAGGGGAAAGAAGTTTGCTTTGCATTTTAAAATGGAAACTACATAATTTGCACTTCTTGAAACAACATGCAAACTAAAGCTTAATTATCCTTCAAAATACATATATTAGTAAAGATTAACCTACAAAAATGCATTCTATTAGAAACAGTTGTTTGTAAAAAGTATCCTTAATTATCCTTCAAAATTTTCACTTCATCAAATTTTGTGAAGCAGTTCTCCAACTGCTTCACAAAGATATACAGAAAAAAAGATACACAGAAATGCATATAATAAGCAAAAGTGTCTGTAAAAATGCATATATTAGTAAAGATTAACTTACAAAAATGCATGCTGTTAGAAACAGTTGCTTATAAAAAATACACACTTAAATGCCGATGAATTTTCATGAGAACTTTAATAATCTGAAACTGATATGGAAATGCAACAAATTGAAGTGAACACTGGAAAAATGACAAACTGAAGTTGACACTCCCATCCATTCCTGAACAGTAGGGATGGAAATCTTAGGTAAATGAGCCACAATGCTTAAGAATTTTCTTTATCCAACCCTGAAGCCAACATAAATCTGTCCATCAACATCTTTGTATCCCTTAGATAATTATTTTTTACAAAGGGAGAAACCAATAGGACTATGTTAAGAACCCCAAACTGTATTCAAGATTATTCTAGGCTAGAATTCTGGATTGTATGTGCCCAATACACATAGACCAATTTTGGAAGTGTAAGGGCTCTGAAAAACCAGCAAGGTGGTCTAGATCTAGATGTGCAATCTGGGAATATTGGACAATAATGCAACTTACAAATACATGTTTCTCATTTACTGTTACAGCGGCCCTAAGCTATATGATGGTTCTTTCCCCTATTCCATTGAGTAATAAGGGAATAAGGGAAGCTCCAATGTAATATGTGATGATCTGATGAACTGCAGCCACTGTCTTGGTGCCACATTCTAAAAAACATGACTTGTCACATTAACTCAGGAACATGGAACATATGGTCCCCAGATGTTGTTAGACTCCCAACTTTCATAAGCCCCAGTGCTTAGCATGATCATGTGAACTCCCATGGTTTGGCTTGGCATGTTGGACAGTGGAAGGGACTCCACTGAGAGGTGATGGACTCTTTTGGAAGTTTTTAAGGAGAGGTTGGATGGTCATCTGTGATGGATGCTTTAGCTGAGATTCCTGCAGGGGGCTAGACTAGAGGCCCACAGATTAGTTACCATGTTCAAGAGAAACAGAAAACAAATTTGATGCAATGTCTATGTCAGTTTTTTCCTGCCCCAGCCGTATCTTTATCTTATCCTGGCCTTATGAACCAATTGATAAAAATATGGATAAATGAATCTTTTGCAATATTAACGCCATTCACCCCTGTCCCCCAAATCTAAACACCTGAAGTAGGAACTCATGGTCTCCAACCAAACACGGATGCACCTAGATCACTGGTCACCAGTGTAGCACTGAGCACTGGTACCCTTGAGGCCATCGTCTTATGCCCATGAAACCTTTGAACCTCCCACCTTTATCTCATTTGGCAACGAGGTAGGTAAATACATTCTCTCCCCCCCCCCCCCCGAAAAATAAATTGAGCTGAAGAAGGAACCTGCAAAAGTGTCTCTCTTCCCCACTTCCTCTTTCAGCTTTCTGTGGCTTTCAATGTTTATTTTTCTGAAGTGCCTAGAGCTAGTGATACTCATAAGACTCACTTAAGACTCCAAATGCTCATGGGCATAGAAAGGTTGCTGACCTCCAACAGATGCATCACACACTGACCCCCATTTAATATTTCCTTTATTAATATAGGCACATCATCGCCACATGTCAAATCTGGCACCACATGAAAGAAAGATAAATATATGCAGAATGAAGGGTAATATCAACCCTTCTTACTTAGAAAGTGCATTGTACTTTGTCAACATTAACTCATTTGGGCTGTCAAGTCAGCCTAAAACCAGTCCGTTCACTGCCTTGTTTTTAGCCAATTACTGAGTTATTAAAATTAGTTATTTTATTAGTTAGTTATTAAAATGTGTAATATGTTGTCCAAATCAGGAGATACACACAAATATGCCAGGAAGCTTTGGGCACCATTGCATATTCAAATGTTTTGGTTACAGTTTTTCATTTTAATCTGCTGCTCATCAAATAGTAATATAATTTGGTTAATGCTCTTAGCCCCAGGAGATAGCACTATATAGTCTCTTATGATTATCTATATACATGTGTATAGTGATTTTTTTATTTTTATTGGTAGCCGAAGCAGCTGAATAAACAGGCTAACTCCAGAAAGCAAATGCTTTGGCAAACTTCACTAAATCATAAACAGATAAGCTGAAGAAAACTTTAACAGCAAGACTGTTGTAAATAACAGTTTATGGACAGACTCCTTTTGGCTAAGCAACAGAACAGATCAGGTCAGATGCTTCTAGCAGAATATAATTATTACTGTTAAGCATACAGATATAAGAAACTCAGGGCTAGAGCTATTAAGTAGCCTTGTGCCAAACCAGACCTTTGATCAGTCTAGCCCAGTATATACTAGGTAGGGGGAACCCTTGGCCCTCCAGATGTTTTTGAACTGCAGTTCCCATCTGCCACAGTAAGCATGGCCAATTACCAGGGATTATGGGGAGTTGTGGTTCAGCAGCATCCTGAGGGCCAGAGATTTCTCACACCTTGTCTACACTGACTGGTAATGGCTCTCTTGGATTTCAGATGGGAGTCTCACCTAGCTTTACATGGAGGTGCCAAAGATTGAACCTGGGACCTTTGGGATGCAAAGCAGATCCTCTATCACTGAGCTATGGTTCTTACTATTGCTCCTTTAAAATTCTAAGGGAAAATTATGCTCTAGGTTGCACTTTTGGGTGCGATCCCCTGCCATTGCTATCCCCATTATCCCATTATCCCAAGGACACACCAATAAGCATCAATAATATATAGCTGTTGCCTAGGGCTTAAAAATACTGACAAATTAATTTGTTATATTATTTGTATATAAAACGTGTATGTGTTTATGTGTACACACACATATTTTTAATTTGATACACCTTTTTCTCCCACTGCTCTTGACTTTTAAGTGCAGCATGACACAATTAGATTGCATATGTGAAGCTTTTCCTAGCAGAGAAATAAAGTGCTGGGAGAAGCTTCAAGTATTTCCCTCGTTGGCATGAATCCATAAATTCTGTCAACACTTTTGAGAGAGCCATTTTTTTTTTTTTTGGTGGTCTCCAACAACCCTCCACATCTCATGTACAGAGGTCTTGGGACAGAGTCTAACTTGAGGTCACATTAAGGCTCAGCTTTGGTTTTACTTGGAACCACTGAAGCCTCTTGCTGCTTCCAAGCATCTCTGAAGCTCAGCACAAATTTGAAGATGAGGGGAGCAGGGGAGCAGATTTAATTTGTGATGTTGCCCTGAGACTTCCTACTGCTTCTTAATACCTTTAGTGCACAGCACAAGGTCAGAGATAAGGTCCCATCTCTTGATTTGTTCTGGGACAACCATTCACCAGATTCTCCAAAGACACATTTGCCATTGCTA